AATAATTAATTAGAAACTATGTGAGCATGAAGCAACCCCAGCGAGTTACCCTTGAGAATCTGAAGACCTTTAAAAGAATGGACGTGCCTAGCCTAGCCCAGGTACCATGAAGTACTGCAGTATAGACAAGCAACGTGATCATGTAATACTTTTTACTAGTAACAATGTACAAGATATCAACCCTAAAACCCACTACATATATATGAATTCTCAATATTCATAACAATCATCCAGAGACCCTAAAACACCTATATGTTACTAGGTATGTCATCTACAGAATTCCGTGTTCGCCCACAAGGCTTTTTATGCCTGAACCAAGAATGAATAATTCGACGCAGCAATTGGCCAAATCCTGTGACCAACACTGACTAGATGACTTGGGTGAATAAACTACAATACATCTATGTGCATACACATTGAGATGGTCAGCAAGACTCCAATCATTTGCATGGCTTGAAAGACCAAAGTGAAATATTCTACACGACTCGAACCCATGCTCCCCCACACATTGGGCATCCATATGCCCAGCGGCTGATCCACCAAGTTTCTTTCTCATTTTGATTAGAAGAAGCACTAGAACCAGGAGAAGCAAAAGCTGAAGTCTGCCGCAAACATCTTATGCACTGCATAAAAAATTAATAAGCAATGAGACAAAATTCAAACAAAGGATCATAAATTAGAAAGAAAAAGCTCATTTACAGCTGGCTGCAAACTAAAATTATTCTTTCTTAATCATTATTTTTTGGTTTTTGTTTCTTTAAGAAACTGTGTTTCAAAAGCACATTTAGACCAGCAAGACTGTTTGCCACCCAGCAGGAGGCGAAGTCCTAAACTAAAGCAAAAATGAAAGTCATGTGACTGCTTTGGGCCAGAAAATAGTTAGGTGACCTAAATAAAAATTGCTATAGGCCAGGCATCTAAGACTGTTTTTAACCTGGTAGGACTTTGATCATTTAAACAAGAACTTCCTCCATAAATACCGTTTGTCACAATCCAAGTT